GAAGGGGTGGGCTCAGGGCCACTGTCCCAGAGGCGCTGGTGGAAGGGCTCTAGGCGTTGGCGCTGTAGCTCAGTCAGGGCCCGTGACACATCACCTCCATGCTGGAACAATGCCTGGAGAGACCCCTCCTCAGGCCCAAAGCCTAGAGACTGGAGCTCCTGCACCTGCAAGATGGGAGTGGTGAGAGGGAGTGAAGTGGGAAAGCAAGCAAGGGAGAATGTGAGAGATGCAGACTCTCGACCCTATCCCATATCCAGCACAGCTGATACCTTCCTTCGCCTGGTCCTCACACATTCCTCCACAGCTTCATCAAGGTTGCCATGACGATCCAGCCAGGCTTTCCGGGCCTCCTGACAGGAAAAGGCACCCAGCCCAGGGTCCTGCTGTCCAGCCAGCTCAGCCACCATCTCCAGCACGTAGGGCAGTTCTGAGCGCAACCACTGCAGAGGCACCTCAGTGCCCGAGTACTGCAGAGCCGAGAAGATCTCCTCTGGACAGGCACCTGCGGCTTCCCCTTCCTAAGGCACAGTCCTGCCCATCAGGCCCATCAGGTGGGGCACACCCTTCACCCACCCTCAGCCTGATCTAAGATGGTGACAGTGGCTCAGCTCAGACATATGGATCATGTCATCAGTGCACAGCATGGTAACTGCCTCAGTAACAAGGAGCTGCTGCTAACAATGACAAGGTTCATAGAAACTATTAACCACCTGCAGCATCTCCTTTCCCACACCAGCTCAGCCCTACCTCATCCCAAGCCCAGTCCTTACCCGGATCATGCTCACTAGCTGGAGGCCTTCCTCCCGCATCTTGTCTTGGCGCTGCTTCCCAGGGTCTCCACAGGAACTGGGCAGGGAGGCACTAAGGCGTTGTGGGGGCCCAAGCTTAGGGGGACCCTTTTCCAAAGAGCTGGCATAGGGCCGGGGGGCACGTTGTACTGGAATGGGGCTACTAGTCCGGTTGCACATTACACACACCCAGCCAGGGCTCGAGTTGCAGAAGGTACAGTGAATACAGTACCAGACATGACTCTGGGCAGAGGCCAGCAAAGTATCCCCCTGCTGGGAAGGCAGAGAGAATTATCCCTTTGACTGGCTGGCTGAGGTTCACAACAGAAATACAGGGAGTTGGAAGGAAGTAAAGGAAAACATGGGATAGAAAAGAAGAGAATGACTTGAGGTAACACACAATAAAGAGCTGGGAAGGCCAGGAACAGGTTACCTGAAGGGGTTGCAGGCAAATGCCAGCATCTCGGGAATCCACCACCAAGCTGGGAGGCTGGGCCAGCCGAGGTCGCTCACATATGGAACACAGCACAGCTGCTGCCTCATTCTCAAAGGTACAGCTCTGGCAGGCCCACCGACCCCTTGCAAGATCAGGTTCTAGGCCTCCAGTTCCTTGGGCACCCTCAGTTCCCAACCCCAACCCCTTACAGCCTCGGGGCCGATCACAGGCCACACAGAGCACTGCCCAAGGCTCATTTAGCATGGCACAGGCAGCACAGTGCCAGGGCAAACGAGCACTTGCAGGATTAGGGGAAGAAAGAGAGCTGTCCCCCAGTGCCAGCAGGGAGGTCGACTGGGGCCGTGGTTGGGCTGAGGCAGGTAAACTGTAATGGAAAAGCAGACATGGCCTACTGAAGTGGCACCTGGTGCCTGGATCCCTCACCTCTAAGCATTCCCCATTTCCTGGGTAACAACACATGTCTCTGGCCTTTGCACACATTGTCCCTGTCTCGAACACTCCTATACCCATAGCCTATGCAACATTTAAATGACAGTTTAAAGCTCACTTCTTCCTAGTAGACACTGCTAATACATGGCCTGACCTACACTAGATGTTTAAAATATTGCCACCTGATTCAGCTGACCCTTCAGACTAGGTTGCAAACCACCTACTACCATAACAACCAGGGTTACTATAATTGCTACTTGTTTGATGTATATGTCTATTATCTCCTTCAGGGTTCTGATTGGCTACTTCTCCTCTATTAAACAGTCTTTACCACAGAAACTGGCAGGTAGTCCATAACCAAGTGATCTTAAGTTCTCTAAATTTCACTCACCCAGAAGAGAAACTCTCTCACCTGGGGCTTAGGTGGGTACCCTGGAGGACCCCAGGCAGGGTCTGGCGGAGGTGATGAGCACGGGATGGGTGTCCATGGAACAGGTGGTCACAGGCTGGACACAGGGCCTGTTTACAGGATGGGCAGTGCAGTGTGCCTGGGGCAGAACCACAGAGGAAGCAGGGACCAGGAGTGGAGCCTGGAGAGCAGGAGAGATAGAACATCTTTCCAAAAAAGACCAAGTTACATCTGAATCTGCTGTGGATGGGGGCAAATCACAAGACTACTTTTTAACACAACTGGCCCAAGGAAACAATTTTAATCTCTTTTAAAAAACAAAGAGGCCGGACACAGTGGTTCATGCCAGTAATCCCAACAATTTGGGAGGCTGAGGCAGGTGGATCACCTGAGGTCGGGAGTTCCAGACCAGCCTGACCAACATGGAGAAACCCTGTATCTACCAAAAATACAAAATTAGCCGAGTGTGGTGGTGCATGCCTGTAATCCCAGCTACCTGGGAGGCTGAGGCAGGAGAATCGCTTGAACCCGGAAGGCGGAGGTTGCGGTGAGTGGAGATCGCACCATTGCACTCCAGCCTGGGCAACAAGAGCAAAACTCTGTCTCAAAACAAACAAACAAACACAAAGGAAGATAACCAAGAAGGCAGAGGAGCATCCCAAATTTCCATCAATATAGCTTCCTACTTGGTCCCCAATTTAGGACCAATAATACCTGGGGCAGAGGGTGTGGTGAGGGGGCCAGGAGCAATCTCTCTCAATAGGGGGTCAAATTCTGAAAGCTGTAGCATCTGAAAAAGAAAGGGCAGGGAATGAACAAGGGTTTAGGGATACAGAGTCCCACAATTCCGGTTCCCTTTGTATACCAGCCCCTTTCCTGCCTTCCTTACATCATCTTCAACCTTGTCTTCCAACAGCTGCTCCAGTGCCTGCTGTCTTGGATGAGTATTCTGTAATAATACAGATAAAAACGGTTTCCACCTAGACCCCTAGAACAAAGCCCTCCCTCTAAGCCCTGGTCCCTTAACATTCACAGAGGGAAAATCAGTACCCGGAGCTCCCAGAATGCTGAACTACGCCCATAGTTCAGCAGCACAGGGGTCCTCAGACTTACTTGAGTTAGGCTGGGCTCCCCAGCCCTGGTGCATAAGTCCATCAAGACTAGAGGAGCATCTCACCTGCAATAGCAGGCTGAGCTCTGTCCGAAGCAGCAGTACTTCCAGTGTGACTGTAGCAACCTGGTGCTCATTTGGCTCCTCTTGCCCTTCGGGGAAGCTCAACCCATCTGGCTGCTCCTCTGTATAGCCATATAATCGCAGCACATCTCGGCCCCCCTGCCACACATTCACAACCAGTCACCACCCAGGAGGCTTCCTGCCTAGTAGGGCTGGACCCCTCCCCATTCAGCACAATCTCAGGCCTTTTCTAGCCAAACCCCAGCCCAGACCCAGCCCCCTCTCCCGTAAGGCCAGGGGATTCACCTGCACAGCATCCACCGTGCTGCGAAAGACAGGGTTATTAAACTTGACGCCGCGCCAGTACCGGGGCCGCTGAGGGCTGAGAAGGTTGCGGCCATATTTCTCCAGGATGTTCAGGGCCGTGGACAGGGTACTGAGGTAGTTTCGGGGCTGGGAGCAATGAGAGCAGAGAGTTGTAAGCGTAGCCCGGGCCTCAGGCCCTGGTGCCCCCTTCCAAGCGGGGCCGGGCCTCACCTCCCCATGGGCGTTGCAGCGGACCAGGCGTGCGGCGTCCAGCTGCAGGTAGCGGGCGGTTGGCGGCAGAGAGCTGGCTAGCAGCGGCCGGAGCTGCTCCAGGGAAAACGCCTGCCCAGAATCCCTCCTCAGGGCGCTCGCCAGCTCCTCGCGGGCCACCAGGAAGGCCCGCTCCTCTTCCTCCCCCGGCATCCTGAGAAAGGAGTCAGCCCCAGCCTTGCCGCCCGCCGGGACCCGGCGCGGGCAGCGCGCGGCCCAAGCGCCGCCCCTCCCGTCTGGTGCCCGGCTTTGAGGCCCACCCCGGCCCGCGCAGCCGCCCCGGGTCACTCAGACCACAGTCATTCTCCAGCCCCCGGCCCTGCGCCAGGGTTAGCCGAGAACAGGAAGTACTAGGAAAGAGGGCGGGACAGCGACCCAATTTCAGAGGAACGGGCGGGGCTTAAGGTTAAGCTGGGAGCGGGTGTCCCGAAACCAGGGGGCGTGGCCAAGAGGGAGGGCCAGGTCCCAAGCAATGAGAAGGCAAATGGCTCCTGGCTCCTCCCTCAACGCGCCCCAGCATCTTCCCTCAGTCAAGCGCTCTTCCCCGCCTTCCTCCAGTCTGGTTCCACCCCTTCCGGATAGCCCCAGGCGCGGGGTTATCCTATTCAGCTCAAACCCTTCCTTTTTCTAGCTGGACCAGTCCGCTACGCTCCGGGCCTCACCGGGGAAGTCCCACCCTGCAGGGGAACCGACTCTGGCCGGCCCTAGCCCCTCTTGAGCGAGTCCCGCCCCATCTCCGGTCTGTCCTGAAGGCTGAGGGAAGACCCTCACCCAGCCCCTGCCCTCTCCCTTCTAAGGGCGGCTAGCCCTTCTCCACCCCAGGCGCTCCCTCTGGCTGCCCCTCCTACTCGCTCTCATCTCTCTCCGTCCGCTGTTTGCGGTCGAGACTTCTTGGGGGAGCCCCGCCACTGGATACCCCCTTTGCCATACTCCCACCTCTCTTACCCCGACCCTGGACTTCTCGTGGGCCCTAGCTATAAGCCCCGCCCCTCTCCAAGGGACAGCCCCCGCTCCAGTCTCCGCTGTCCCACTCACCCCAGCCCCTCCCTCGGGCAGCCCCTGGGCTTGTGACCCAGCCAGCACCGCCTCTCCTAGTGGCAACTGGCTGGGAATGGCTGAGGGGCTACCTACTGCTTGCGGCCTGCCGGGGGAGGAGGGAGGCGGAAAGAAGAAAGGGGGCGGGGTTGAGGGGGGCGGGCCTGGACCTGGGGAGTGAAAGCGAAAGCCCGGGCGACTAGCCGGGAGACCAGAGATCTAGCGACTGAAGCAGCATGGCCAAGCCGTGTGGGGTGCGCCTGAGCGGGGAAGCCCGCAAACAGGTAATGGTGAATCGGAGGCCAGGAAGGGGTCATAGAGCCCTCTTGGGGGGAGGCCAAGCTGGGTGGTTCAGGGGACCAAAGCAGTGCCAGATAACTCCCCCAATCTCGCTAGTGCCTTCACTTCTCGGGGATTCCCAGATTCCTGCCCTCTGACTGCAGTGAGCAGGAGCTTCCAGGGGAAACTGGCTTGTGGTGAGAAAGGCCTGAGCCACAGTTGGAGGGCACCCTGTTGTGGGTGGAAGCTTTTGACAACCCAGACCCTTAACCAACATCCGGGTACTACTCTCTGTGTAGGTGGAGGTCTTCAGGCAGAATCTTTTCCAGGAGGTAAGTCTCTGGATTTCAGCGATTTGACCCAGAATCTTAGACCAATACTTGAGGATAACAACCTCTCCTAATGACCCCCCCAAGTCACCCTAGACTTAACCCTACTTCCCTTACCAAGCCTTCACCCAAAGTAACCCCGGAATTATTGATAGCTACCTTTAATCTGACCTTTCTTATGACTCTCCCCACTTCTGGCACTTCTCCCCTCTTTTGATGTGGAGGAAAAAATCCATGGCTCCCAAAGCAGGAATAGCACAGTCCTAACCTTAGTTCTGCCACTTACCAGCTTGGGCAAGTCCTTTCATTTTCAGGTCTTCAGTTTCCTCATTTGCAAGTCTTGGACCCGGTGATTTCCAAAGGCCCTTCCAGTTCCATTTGTCAGACATCTCATTGAGCATATTCTGTGATTCCCCTCCCTTGCAATGTAACCCACAGGCTGAGGAATTCCTCTACAGATTCTTGCCACAGAAAATCATATACCTGAATCAGCTCTTGCAAGTGAGTAGTGTGGCCCCCTCCTGCCCCTTCCCATGTCCTCTCTCCCCTTTGCCCATCCTCTCTAGCTAACAACTGGATTCAGCATGCAGAGAATAGTTTCAAGTAGTGGACTGGGAATATTAGGATGGCGTGAGGCATGAGCCTAGGTTGGGAGGCAGAGGGCAAGTGGGATGTATGGAGGGAAGGCTGTGACCTAGGATGAAGGGAAGAGACTGGGCAGCCCCTGACAGTGAGCTCTGTGCAGGAGGACTCCCTCAATGTGGCTGACCTGACTTCCCTCCGGGCCCCACTGGACATCCCCATCCCAGACCCTCCACCCAAGGATGATGAGGTGAGGCATTCAGGGTGCAGGACTTGGACTATAAACCCAATGGAGATGATAGCCCTTCAACCTCTGTGACTTTTCCAAAGCTACTTTCCCCCTTTTTTGTCTTAGATGGAAACAGATAAGCAGGAGAAGAAAGAAGGTAAGAGAGATAAGAGGTGACTAGGGAAGGGGAGATGGCACATTGGCTGCTGGATGAGAAAGAGCCTGAATCCCCTCTTTCTCACAGTCCCTAAGTGTGGATTTCTCCCTGGGAATGAGAAAGTCCTGTCCCTGCTTGCCCTGGTTAAGCCAGAAGTCTGGACTCTCAAAGAGAAATGCATTCTGGTAAGCCTAGGAAATGGGGGAGGTGGAAAGAGAAGATACACAAAGTGAAGCCCTGGACTCCTCCATAGATACAAGTCCTTCATACAGAGACCTAGTCCTGAAAAAGAAAACTTCCTTCTGTGCCTTGGGCTTAGATCTCCTTTGTTCTCATTCTGTTAGACCTCTCTTATCACAACGGTACCCCCAAAATTAGAGACTGTGCAGTATCCACTCTGTAACCTCAGAACCTACTGCTCTATCGGGTTCATAGTAGAGGTGGCATGATATAGTGAGTGAATTGTTTTAAAAGAGTGGACCCTAGAGAGAGACTGCTTAGGTTCAAATCATGATTCTATCAGTTACCTAGCTGGTAACCTTAAGTAAGTCACTTAGACATTCTGTGACTCAGTTTTTTCATCTGTTAAATGGATACAATAAATATGTGTCTCTGATGGTTGCTGTGATGATTAAATGAAATAAATACATGACAGCGCTGGTGTGTAATAAGTACCCAATTAAATATAACAATTTTTTAGTAAGTGACAATAATAGGAAGAACTCAGTATGTTTGTTGAATGATTCTTACATGATCCCTCTTAACACAGGTGATTACATGGATCCAGCACCTGATCCCCAAGATTGAAGATGGAAATGATTTTGGGGTAGCAATCCAGGTAAGAAAAGGGTAACTGAAGACACTTAGAGTAGGGAGAGCCTCGGAGGTTGAGCTAGACATGAACCAGAAGGAGGAGGAAGATAGTGTATGAAATGGGGAGGACATGAAGTGTTGTCTTTGCCTCCCGTGTCACCACAGGAGAAGGTGCTGGAGAGGGTGAATGCCGTCAAGACCAAAGTGGAAGCTTTCCAGACAACCATTTCCAAGTGAGGGCAGCTGGAAGACCAGCATTGGGGGCAGTAGGAGCATTTCTTTGGGACCCCCAAAGCTAGGCATCAGGATGATGGGAGACTTTGGGAAGGGTCTGAGGGAGTACATCTCCCTGAACACTCATTCCTGTGGTATTTCCTTGCTTCTGGCAGGTACTTCTCAGAACGTGGGGATGCTGTGGCCAAGGCCTCCAAGGAGACTCATGTAGTGAGTGGATAGTCCACCAGCCTTTTAGCTGGAGGTGGGACGAGGAGGTGTGGAGAAAGAGGTCCTCCTTGTCTTGTTTGTGACTTTCCCAATGTGTAGAATATTTAGCTAAAAGCATTGCCTAGAAAAACCGATTAGGGCTTCAATGACTTTGACCCTTTTCTCTGCTCAGTCCCTTGGGATCCTATTTCTTGGTGCTAAGAAGGGGTTCATTCTCAAGTTAACTTGTTTCCTATAAAAGGAAACCAGACTCATGTCCCAGCCTCCCATGGGACTGACACAGCTTTGCCTCCCACACTGCAGATGGATTACCGGGCCTTGGTGCATGAGCGAGATGAGGCAGCCTATGGGGAGCTCAGGGCCATGGTGCTGGACCTGAGGGCCTTCTATGTGAGTCTGGAGTAAGGCCTTAGGGGAGGTGGATGAGTAGGGGCGGGCAGGGGATTGGCTAAGAACCTGACTCTTGCACTCTGGCCTTCTCCCAGGCCGAGCTTTATCATATCATCAGCAGCAACCTGGAGAAAATTGTCAACCCGAAGGGTGAAGAGAAGCCATCTATGTACTGAACCCAGGACTAGAAGGAAAATAAATGATCTATATGTTGTATGGATTCCCTTCCTGCATGTAGTCATTCATTCAAAAAGCATTTATTGAGGTGGCATCTATGTCCAGACTGAAGATGAATGTGGTGGGAAGGGGTGGGTGTCATGACTTAGATGCCCACTGTAATCTTTTTTTTTTTTTTGAGATGGAGTCTCACTTTGTCGCCCAGGCTGGAGTGCAGTGGCACGATCTCGGCTCACTGCAAGCTCTGCCTCCTGGGTTCACGCCATTCTCCTGCCTCAGCCCCCCGAGTAGCTGGAATTACAGGCGCCCGCCAGCACGCCCCGCTAATTTTTTGTATTTTTAGTAGAGATGGAGTTTCACCGTATTAGCCAGGATGATCTCGAGCTCCTGACCTCGTGATCCGCCCGTCTCAGCCTCCCTAAGTGCTGGAATTACAGGCGTGAGCCACTGTGCCCAGCCAGCCCACTGTAATCTTAAGAGGTCCTCCAAAGGAACAGTGTGGGGATTGTTACATGCCATGACAGCCATGCAGATAACCTGTATTTTGGAATGTAACAGTATTATTTTCATCCAGAGGTCTCAGGAATTAGTGGAAGAGATGGCATTTGCAAAGAGCCCTTATGGGAATAATAAGGCTTTGGATAGACAAGGGGAAAGTTCTGTGGCCAACATCAGGAATGAAGAAAGAAGGAATCCTTTATCAGTTTAGGAAAAGGCTAGAAGGAGAATGAGGTTTCAGTGGGAGAACTATGGAGAACTATGGATGAATGATTGGACTCCTTTTTTTTTTTTTTTTTTTTTTGAGATGGAGTCTTGCTCTGTCGCCCAGGTTGGAGTACAATGGCATGATCTTGGCTTACTGCAACCTCCGTCTCCCGGGTTCAAGCAATTCTCCTGCCTCAGCCTCTCGAGTAGCTGGGAGTACAGGCGTGTGCCACCACACCTGGCTAAGTTTTTGTATTTTTAGTAGAGACGGGGTTTTGCTATGTTGGCCAGGCTGGTCTTGAACTCCTGACCTCAGGTGATCCACCCACCTCGGCCTCACAAAGTGCTGGCACTGCAAGGCGTGAACCACTGCTCCTGACCTGGACTTCTTCTTAAGGGCTGGGAGGGAAAAAAATAATGCTTCCAAGGCATTGTGGTGAAGGAAATACACCGCAGGACATTATGGGAAAGATTCATCTGTAAGTTTTTCTTACTGTCCTCCCCTACACCCCCTTCAGCCAATCACTGTCTTTATCTCTGCTTTTCAAGATTCAGCCCTGGGCTGAAGACAAGGGTTCCTTTGCTGTGATCTTGCTATAAACTCCATGGGATTGTTCTTTAATTCAGGGCCTTATCCTGTCATAAAATATGAGATAAGAACGTGCTGCGAAGCACTGGACAGGCTGGAAGCCTGCCCCCATACATATCTCATTAAAACCTTAAAGGAACATGGGCAAAAGATAAACCAAGGGCAAGAAAACCTGCAGTCGCGAAGGTAACACGGATCATTAGTGACAGAGCCGATCTAGAGTACAGATCCACTCGTCCCATAATAGGCGCAAGGCGGTCTGCTTTGCCCGCAGCCCTTCGGAACACCCGGCTACGGGTTAGCGCTCCATCCCCGGGGCTCCGCGGAGCCGGTGGTGGTGGGCAACACAGGTTAACAGGCAAAGCCAACCAGCAACGAGAGCGGAAGTCGGGGAACCTAGCCAATAAGAGTTCGGGCAATTTTCTTTGCTTCACAATGGTGGGTTCTTTCCAGTCCGCTGGAGACAAAGGCGGGGCAAAGTTGGGGTGCGGCCGCTGATTGGACAAATTGAAAGCCTTTAGCCCTATCAAGGAGCACCACGTGGGCGGGACTTCAGGTGCCAGTTCTGCAGGGAGCTGCAGCTTGCCCTGTCTCCCAGGCAGGCGCTGAGTCGCAACCGCCAGCTAGGGGCTCGGGAAGGCGGGGCTCGGATGCAATCGGGACCTCCTCCTGGGCTGGGCTTCGGGCGGACTCCCGGACCCCGGGCGCCGGGAGCCGGCGGGCTACCTGCGAGTCGAGTTAGCATTGTCGCCGAACCGAAGTGAGAGGGCACGGGGAAGGGTCAAAGAGGGTGCCGAAGCGCTGGAAGGAGCTTCACGGACGCGAGCTAGGCACCGGCTCGCCTAATTCGGCACTAATCCGGCTTGCTGCTTCCCGGCCAGGCCCCGCTCGCCATGGGGGAGGTGGAGATCTCGGCCCTGGCCTACGTGAAGATGTGCCTGCATGCTGCCCGGTACCCACACGCCGCAGTCAACGGGCTGTTTCTGGCGCCAGCGCCGCGGTCCGGAGAATGCCTGTGCCTCACCGACTGTGTGCCCCTCTTCCACAGCCACCTGGCCCTGTCCGTCATGTTGGAGGTCGCCCTCAACCAGGTGCCTCCGTTGGATGCCCATCCCCCACCGCGAACCCACCCAACACCCCAGCCCAAGTTAATCCCCGGTCCCTTGGCAGCAGTGCGCATCCACAAAGCCAGCGGCACAATTTAATTACTGATGGCCCCTTTCCCACGACAGGTGGATGTGTGGGGAGCACAGGCCGGTCTGGTGGTGGCTGGTTACTACCATGCCAATGCAGCTGTGGACGACCAGAGGTGAGTGGCGTAGCCAGAGGAAGAAGGAAAGGATTATGGGGGGTTGCGGGTTGGAGGAATAGAGGGCGAGGATGCGTGGGGCATTGGGTGGAGGGGGGCGCACAAGATGAACCAAGGTCATTCCTTCTATCTTTCCTTCACCAAACGCTTAGGAGCAGGGGTTTTACACCAGGCACTATGCTGGGTACTGGAGTGAGGAAATATAAAGATGAATAGGACAGAGCCCTGCTCTGGAGTGCCGTTTCGGCGGGGAGGACAACTGTGTATCAACAGATTGATTTTGTTTTTTTTTTTTTTTGAGACGGAGTCTCGTTCTGTCGCCCAGGCTGGAGTGCAGTGGCGCAATCTCGGCTCACTGCAACCTCCACCTCCTGGATTCAGGATTCTTCTGCCTCAGCCTCTCGAGTAGCTGGGATCACAGATGAGCGCCACCATGCCTGGCTTTTTTTAATTATTATTTTTATTTTTTTGTTTTTAGTAGAGATGGGGTTTCGCCATGTTGGCCAGGCTGGTCTAGAACTTGACCTCAGGTGATCCACGAGCTTCAGCCTCCCAAAGTGCTGGGATTACAGGCGTGAGCCACCACTCCTGGCCAACAGACTGATCTTGCTTTAACTGAGGTGTCCCCCAGGTGCTGAAAGAACAGAGAAATCCCAACCAGCAACTTCAAAAATAAGGCAGTTTCCTTATATATATAGGAAAAGACAATTATATATATATATAAATCATATACATGAAGCAGATTAGAGATACTGTTTTGTAATTTGCGTTTCTCCCTCACTTAATAAATACTTGACATCATCCCATTTCCACAGCAAGATCTACCTTTCCCTAACAACTGTATAGTCTGAATATGGATGTACTATGATTTATTTAATGCTTCAAACATTGAGGTTGTTTCCAATGTTTTATTACAGACACTGTCCTATTATTACCGTAAATTCTTTATAAGTAGAATTTCTGGGTTAGCATATGTATAGTATGTAGTATGTATACAGTTTCAGTTTGGATGGTTATGCCAAATTACCTTCCAAAAAGACCACCTTTGGTTTCCACTCTCACCAGCAGTATCTGAGCACCTGTTTCCCACAGCACTCAAGCATCAAGCAGTCGTACATCAAGCATCCAGCAGGCCCGATCCCCGCAGGCCACCTACAGGGAAAGGCCACAGCTGCGCCCACATCTATGAGACCTGGGAGGCCCAGCTCAAATGGATGGGTTTTGCCCACAGTTGGCTCCTCACTCCTCTGATCTTCCCTCTACACAGCCCTGGGCCCCTGGCCTTGAAAATTGCTGGGCGAATTGCAGAATTCTTCCCTGATGCAGTACTTATTATGGTGAGACTTGGGTTTCTGGGTGGGGAGGTGAAAAGAAAGTAGGGTGAGGGGACCCTTGAAACTCTCACTTGCCCTTCTTTGTCCACTCAGTTGGATAATCAGAAACTGGTGCCTCAGCCTCGTGTGCCCCCGGTCATCGTCCTGGAGAACCAAGGTCTCCGCTGGGTCCCTAAGGATAAGAACTTGTGAGTACCCCACTCCCTCTCTCTCTTCTTAGAAGCCCAAGATTCCTGGGTCTCCTCTGTCCTTGGCCCTGCCCCAAGGGTCTTTCTCTAGACCCAATCTCTGTCAAGTCTGTGTCTGGCCCCACTACTTGCTGTTTGACCTCCATGGGGGTTGCTATTTCAGAGTGATGTGGAGGGACTGGGAAGAGTCACGGCAGATGGTGGGAGCTCTACTGGAAGATCGGGCCCACCAGCACCTTGTGGACTTTGACTGCCACCTTGACGACATCCGGCAGGACTGGACCAACCAGTGGCTCAACACTCAAATCACCCAGTGGGTTGGTCCCACTAATGGAAATGGAAATGCCTGAGCCAGGGCCAGCAGGGTCCAGATCCAATAAAGAGACTTGGGCTGATGGGCAGTGGTATAACTATATTTATTGTGCCTGGGAGGCAAGATGAGGGAAAAATCTCAACAGAAGCAAGTTTGGGGAAAATCTGGAGTCCCCAGTAAAAAGTAGGAAGGTCTCTGCTGTACCCATCCCAGAATGGGAGAGAGGGCTCTCAATAGATCATTCCCTTTGTTTCTCCCCTGGGCTTCTTGAGCTTCTCGAAGTTCTTCAGGATGATGTCATATAACACAGCCTACAGGGCCAGGGAGGAGTGGAGGTCAGTCAGAGGCCTCCAGTGGCTCTGTGCCCCATTTCTAGCCTTGTGGAGAAGCTGCACTTTGTCACCCTTTACCCCCAGCCTGCAGGGTCAGGGAGTGCGTGGCCTGGGAAAGCTGCCTCTGCCCACCCCTGCCCTCGCCTCCTCACATAAGCATTGCGGATCTCCATGACCATCAGCCGGATGTCCCGGTACTCTGCCTCATCCAGCTCGTGCACCAGCTGCCGATAATCACCCTGTGGGAAGCTCGGGTCAGGCCTGACCTTACATGAGTCCTTCCCTCATGCACCCTGACCTGGGCCTCACCTACCACATGGGGCTGCTTGGCTGCTTTAGTCACTGCATCACCACGCTCAGAGAAATACCTGTGGAAGGAGAAGTGTGTATGGAGTAGAAGAAGGAGGTCTCTGTCCCAAAACAGACAGTGTGTACATGGGTGGTCACTCACTTAGAGATTTGGGTGTGGAAGCCTTCTAGCTTGGTGTGGAGGCTGGTCATCAGCTCAAACACCTTCTCCTAGGGAAAAAAAGCAAGGGGGAAAGTAGAAGGAAGCATGGACTAGAAAAGAGCAGGGAAGTGGGGCAGCACTCTCACCTGGACAGCCACTCCAAAATTGTTACCATCCTCAATCCGAGGTATCTGCAGCTGCAACCAGGTGGTGACCTGGGAAGAGGGAATGGCGTAATGCCACATCAGCCCTCTATCCAATTCCATTTCATATTCTCCCTTGCTTCCCTCCCCACACTGGGTGGAGGCATGCCAGGTCTCTCCTGAGCCTCAGAGCCCGGACTTCTGGTTTCACTTGCTGTGCCCTCTCTTGCTAAAACCTGGCATGTGCCAGGCCCTAAATGGCAGGGACTAAGAGGACAATGGTTTGACTTAAAGCCTGAGAGTTGAAGGGGGAGAGCCTACCAGGTTGAGCTGCTCAATGACATCCTTGATCTCAGGCTTCAAGCGCTGCAGAAGGACCAAGATCTTTTCATTGCAGTTCACTGGACCACAGGGAGGACCTAGAGAGTGAGCAATGGGTCAGTCACATGATTGAGCCTGTGTGAGGGTTGAAGGGGAGAGTAGAAAGAAATCCTTAGGAGGAGCTCCTGTGGGTGGGACTCAAGTCTCTTCCCACAATTGTGGTTTCAAGTACCTTTGTCTTCATCCTCCCCCTTCTTCTTTTCATCCTTGTCTTCCTTCTGCAGAAAAAGAGGGGCTCATGAGAGTCAGGACTAAGGTTGATAACCCCCATGGTTGGATCCCTTCTCCCAGGTCTTCCCAGCTTGCCTCCTGCTGTTTCTTCCGTTCCTCTTTCTCTTTCTCCTTGACTGGATCAGGCACTGGGATGTCCAACGGGGCCTTCAGATTGCTCAGGTTGGCTTCATTGAGAGCTGGCTCCTGGTGTAGGGTGGGAGGAGGGCTGGAGGTGAGGGGGTTCCTTTCACCTCACTCTCACAGCCCCTGACCCTTCTCTTGGCCTTTACTCCCTAGCTCCCTGCCCAGCCGCGGTACCTTTAAAAATGCATCCAGCTCAGAAATCTTCTTGGGGAAATAGCTCCCGAGCAGGTTCTCTGTCTGTGTGTGAGGTGGGATGGAGAAGGATGGGAGTCAGCATCAAATGCCCATCCTAGGTGGTGAGGCAGGGTTGAGCAGTAGGAGTTGGGCAGGGGTGGGGCCGCTGATGGGGCATGTCTTACCTTGGTACAGAGGTCTTCACGAAACACATCCACCTGTGGGGCACATGCATCCCTTCAGAAACTTGGCTTTAAGGCCAGTTCATTTGAGGACAGTTCCCTTAGGGTTATGTAGGGCCTGACCTGGGGAAGGGTGGAGGGGATCCCTCTAAGGCCAGACCTGAAGAAAGCGAGATGGATGCCTGTGGGGTGGGTTGGGGTGGTGGAGGAGTGGAACTCTGCAGACCTGGATCTACGGAGAGTGGAATGGGTATCCCTAGGGCTGGATACGGGGGATGAGAACATTCCTGGCAGTGAAGGGCCAGTGGTTCACGTGAGACCAGATCCCTGGGGTCGCCTGGCAGGTGTGAGGAGGGGTGCTGAGAGCCCTCTGCGAGCAGGACAGGGACGGGGTGGGCCCCGGGACCCTCCCTAAGGGAAAGGCCACGAGGTAGCTGGGGCAGTCCCGCATCCAGTCTGTGTGTGGCCCCGGCTCCAGGCCAGCGGAGTTCCCCTCCACGCCAGCTCTCCGCTTCACCTCACCCCACAGAACCACGGCCGCCTCGCCTGTCCCCGCAGGCAGCAGTCACCGCCCTCCCCGGGGCGCAGGTGCTCCGGGAGCGCCAGCTCGGCGGACTGCCCCTGACTTGTGTGGGAGTCTGGGGGGCGGGTCGGGGATGCCCCCGGCCGCTCGAGCCACGCCTCCCCAGTGGGCCCTTTCTAGACCCCGCGGCGCTCACCTTGGCTTGGGCCTCGGGCTGGACCCTGAGCGTGGCCATGACCGGGACGGGGGGCCTAGCGCCGCACGAGGAACGGAGTGGGCACCGCGAAGGGAAAGCGAAAGCGGCGCTCGCACCACTCACGGCCTTCCTGGGTAGTGGGGCGGGGAGGGCTGGAGGAGGCGGGGTCAGCCCGGCCAGGGAGAGGTGCAGTGCAGCAGAGGAGGGCGGCGGGTGCGGCTCCCCCTAGCGCGCACAGGCTGCCTCGCGAGGGCCAGTTTCCAGCCTCCCCACCCCCGCCGGCCGGGTCCCCGCCTCCCCGCCCTCCTCTCGTCCCCGCCTCCCGCCTCCCGCCTCCCGCCTCCCGCCTCCCGCCTCCCGCCTCCCGCCTCCCGCCTCTCGCCCGCCACTCGCCGCCCGCCGTCCGAGGACGCCGGGTCCTCCCATCGTCTAGTCTAAGCCAGTCTCTCCGCGCCCCGCCCTCCACCTTCCGCCTCCCAACTGGCTCCCCACCTGCTCTCTTCTTCCCCTGCTCCGCCTGGGACAGATAAGTCTTACTTAGGGCTCTTCTGTCTTTCCCCAGAGATGGAATAAGACCTGGCCTCTCTTTCCTAGCCTTGCTAGCGTGGGCCTCTGGCTCTGCCGACATCCTCCGCACCTGTAGCAACACCGGCACCAGAGCCGACAGCATCCCTATCCAAGCCCGGACCAGCTCTCTCCTGGACCACCGCGGCATATGCCATTCTACAGCCCACTCTCACAGAGCAGCGGGTTCATGCCTCTGTCTGGCTTAAAACCCTTTCTCAGCTGCCTGTTGACCTTAGAATGAAATCCAAAAGGCTGTTGCAGCTGTCTCCCCTTTAAGTTCACTTTCTACTACTTGCCCCTTCATTCATTACACTTGCAAATACTCGGGCTATTTGTTTCCCAAATGTGTCATGTTCATTCCTGCCTCAGGGCCTTTGCCCTTGCTAATAATCCCTTTGTCTAAAACACACTTACCCTGGGTGTTGTCATTCGGTTCTCAGTTTAGATGTCACCTCTTCAGAAACAACTATTTTCATCATCCTCTATAAGGAACCTCCCTCCAAATGCATTAAAAATCAGCCTGTTTTAGTACATTCATAGCATTTATCTCTGATATTAGCCCGGTTTTTTTTTTTTCCTCCCCAGGATAATTCACTGATTTAAACCAGCAAACTGTGTGTGTGTGTGTGTGTGTGTGTGTGTGTGTGTGTGTGTTGGGGGACAGAGTCTCACTCTGTCGCCCAGGGTGGAGTGCAGTGGCACAATCTCAGCTTACTGCAACCTCCACCTGCTGGGTTCAAGCGATTCTCCTGCTTCAGCCTTCACAGTAGCTGGGTCTACAGGCGCGTCCCACCACGCTCGGCTATTTTTGTATTTTTAGTAGAGATGGGGTTTCACCATGTTAGCCAGGATGGACTCGATATGCTGACCTCGTGATCCGCCCGCCTCGGCCTCCCAAAGTGCTGGGATTACAGGCATGAGCCACTGCGTCTGGTCAGCTTTTTCTATAAAGAGCCAGAGAGTAAATTGTAGGCTTTATGGGCCTTACAGTGTCTGTCTACTCAACTCTACCATTGTAGCAGGACAGCTGCCATATGTAAATGAATTAGTATGGTGAGATCAATAAAACTTTACAGACACTGGACTGAATTTCATGTAATTTTTTCCTGTAATAAAATATTCTTTTTCTTTTGCTTTTCCAACCATTAAAAAATGTAAAAACGGCCGGGCACAGTGGCTCATGCCTGTAATCTCAGCACTTTGGGAGGCCAAAGTGGGCAGATCACTTGAGGTCAGGAGTTCGAGACCAGCCTGGCCAACATGGTGAAACCCTGTCCCTACTAAAAATACAAACACTAGACAGGTGTGGTGGTGGGGGCCTGTAATCCCAGCGACTCGGGAGGTTGAGGCAGGAGATCACTTGAACCTGGGAAGTGGAGGTTGCAGTGAGCCAAAATTGCACTCCAGCCTGGGCAACAGAGTGAGACTCTGTCTCAAAATAATAATAATAAAAACGTAAACAACGTTTTACCTTTTTCTTTTTAAAAAGTTTTTGTAGAGACAGGGTCTCACTATCTTGCCCAGGCTAGTCTCAAACTCCTGGGCTCAAGTGATCCTCTTGCCTCAGCCTCCCAAAGTGCTGGGATTACACTGCTATCACCACCAGGTCTCTGCCTTAAAAAAAAAAAAAAAATATATATATATATATATACACACACACACACATATATATATATAATTATTTAATTATTAGCTCGCAGGTCATACAGAAACTGGCCACAGGAAGGTTTAGCCAAAGTTTGAGGAATTAGCCAAAGTTTGCTAATTCCTGGTTTAGAGGATAGATGATATACCCATATTGCCTAGCTTTGTAATCATGGCTCCTCTGTTTATTAATTGTGAACAAGTTACTTAACCTCTGTGTCTCAGTGTTTGCAACTGCACAATGGGAACACTACTATCTCATTTTTTTTTTTCCAATCAAGATCAGTACAACTTACCTCATACTTTTATTGTTGTGGGGACCAAATGTGTGTTTTTTTTTTTTGAAACAAGAGTTTCGCTCTTGTTGCCCAGGAGGGAGTGCAGTGGCGCGACCTCAGCTCGTTGCAACCTCCGCCTCCCAGGTTCAAGCGATTCTCCTGACTCAGCCTCCCAAGTAGCTGGGATTACAGGCGCCTGCCATCATGCCTAATTTTTTTTTTGTTTATATTTTTAGTAGAGATGGGGTTTCACCATGTTGGTCAGGCTGGTTTTGAACTCCTGACCTCAAGTGATCTGCCCACCTTGGCCTCCCAAAGTGCTAGGATTATAGGCGTGAGCCACTGCGCCCGGCCGTATGTGTTAACTTTTATGAAGAACTTACAGACACTTAGAAAAGTGCCTGGCAGAGTAAACGCAGTGCAAGTGTTTTGCTATTATTTGTGTGTCTATTATCTGCCCTCCCCAGTTAGCGCATATGCCTCCAAACAGCAGAAATCTTGTTTTATTTACATGGCATAGAACTATGCTAAGCTCAATAAACATTTGTTAAATAGATGAGCACATACAGACCCCCTACGGGGAAGACAGGGTAGGAAGAGTCCCTGAGAGGAGTGCCCAGATAGGTAGGCCCCTGAAGAGGGAGAGTGGAGATTCAGTGGAGAAGGCAGGAAAAACAATCAAACAGGCTGGAAATGGAGCAACTACTCAGCAAGAATGATGCCCACACCTGAGGGCACCATTACCTGCGTTAGAAGCACCATTCCTGGATATCTCAGTCCCCAGATAGCTTAAAGTTTGCAAAAACTAGGAGACTGAAAGGACAGCTGGAGGGATGGAGGTCAAGCATAAGGAAGGACATTCAAGGTTGGTGAGAGCAAGGAATGGCTGGGAAACCCTAGTGACTACCAGACCCTCTTCCCACCCTTTCAAGGACCCAACCAAATGATGAGAGGAGCCAGAGCCAGGCCCGATGGCTTTTATTTCTTTCAGTTATGCTTGCGGCTGGAGTGGGGACGGGGGAAGAGCCCATGGCCTGGACTCCCTGGAGACCAGGGCTGATGATACCAGCTGCCATAGGTGAGGTACCAGGCGAAGGTGCCCACTGCGGCACCCACCACCTTGTGAGTGTACTGGTGGAAATAGATGACAGTACAGAGCAGCAAGAAGTTCCAAAGGCCCAGCAGCAGCACGTTCAACAGGAAGACAAGGCGCAGGGGGGCGCCAGCAGGCAGCCCATGGGCCAGGTACTTGGCGAACACAGCTGCTTCCTCTGCCATAAGCAGGCAGCAGAAGGTGAGCAGGAAGGTGTGGGAGGAGACCGTGTAGCCCCGCCACTGGTGGCCAGCCGCCAGGCAGCTGCGGCGGTCAGGCAGCTCATGGAGCAGCAGACCCTGGGGCAGTGGCTCGAAGCAGGAGCCAGTCAGGTCCTCGATGAGCAGGAAGGCTCGGCCAGCTCCCCGCCACACCGCTGCTCCCACCACCAGTCGGCTCAGGTGTCTGGCAGTTACTGCCACGCGCCGTGTAGCCAGAAACACCACCAGCAACACAAAGCCCCCTAGGAAGGTGCATGTCCAGCCCCAGGCTGAATTCACAAATTTTCTGTGGGCAAAGAGGGGAGACTATTGAGGCCCCAAGCGCCATCTCCCACCCTGGTCTGTGCTCCCATCACTGCACTCTCCCCAACCCTACACATCACCACTGGTTCTCTCCTTGCCGTACCCTTTACAGCCCCCAGTCATTTAAACTTTGCCATCTCCTTGGAGGACCATTCAGCATTCCAGGGTACATATTTCCTCTTTAGTCCTGTTCCTGACTTCCCCTATACCCCAGGGTTCTGTTCCCTTCCCCCTCCCCTGACCTTCTCCTCAACCTCCTAGCCTATTTTTAGTGTTCAGACTGGCAGGAGGACAGAAGCCTGGAGAAGGGAGCTAGGATCCCAGAGTGCAGGGACCCAGCTCCCACAGCCTTGAGTGGACTCACATGTTGAAGAAGTTGCCGTGGCTGGCGAAGATAGTCCGAGGGTTGACATGGAACTGCAGAAGGGGCCCAAAGATGACCACTGCTGCCAGCCAGGCATGGTAGAGGCGCCGTAAGCAGGGGCTGCCCAGAAGGCGGGCGGCCTGTTCGCTTCCAAAGTACAGCAAGGCAGAGGCCACCCAGAGAAGCACCTTGACCAGGCAGCCCAGCAGTGCCCGGATTCGGGCCCCGGCCCCCAGCCCTGCCCCCACCACCGGCCCCCGCTCCATGTTCCCTCCCCTCCCCACTAGCTGCTTGCTCTGCTGGGCAGCTGAGGAGGGGCTGATGGGGCCCCCCCGGACAAGGATAGGCAGTGACAGGTGTGGCAGACACAAGGCAGAGCCCTGTTGGCAGCTGGCAGGCGGGGGAGAGGGGCGGGGGGCAGTAAGGGGCCAGGGTGGAGGTCTGCCACGTCAGCAGGGTCCTGGCCTTGGGTGTGTGGTAGCATGTGTCCTAACAGCAGTCTGTGTCCTTTCCTGTTAGTCCTGTGTCCTCGGCTCCAACCATGTTCCAGTTCATGTCTCAGGGCCAGCTGTTCAGGGCTGTCCTTGTCCATAGTCTGCCAGGGTCTGCCAAAGTCCCTCTCCACCCACCCCTACTTTACCATTTGCTCCACAGGGAAATCAGAGGTCATGAAGATAAAACTAACCAAACCTTGAAAGTCGTTTTTTTAAAAAAGCTGTCAGTCTTATCATCAGTATGATCTAGCCCTTCTTCTGGGGTTCTGAGCACAAGACCCTACCAACAGCAGGATGCCACAAGGTGGCTGTGCACAGCACTGTGGCCACCTTAGGCCTTGGGAGGCAGATCAGCAGGGGTATCCACTTCAGCGCTCTGTGACCCCAGCAGCTTGGGTCTGCCTTAGTTCCTGTCTGGATTGAGGGTCTCTAAGGGACTAGTTTGGTCTAGGGCTGCTGTGTAAACTGGCGGTTTCATCTGTTGATTACGTTGACCCTCAGATCCCTAAAGATTAGGTTTACTCCCAGGTGACAGGGGTAGAGGAGACCCTAAAAGGGCAATTGCCAGACAGGAGTCAGTTGAAACCTTAAGTTCCATCCTCCAACCAACTAGCCTGGACTTCAGGGCTCTCCATGCAAGCCTGTCCTCCCAGTCTGACTGCTGAGGTGGCAGCAGCAGGGTAGAGAGCCACCTACCCACAGAGAGTGCCTGTTAGTAACTATTTCGAGATCACTTTTTCTTTCTTCCTCATTCCTCAAAACCAGTGGTGGGATTTCAGAGCACAGCGGAAGTAGTGGAAGCAATGAGCAAACAAGGACATCCGAGTTCTGGACCCAACTGTGTGACTTCAGGAAAACCAATGAACCCTCTTCAGTCCTCAGTAAATCAATTTCCTTTATAAATTGGTCAAGACAGATTGGATAATCAATTAGATTCTTTCCAGATCCTAAAGCCCATACCTTGGAATAGACCTTCAATGAACCCTATAAAAGAATTTTGAACTAGGCTGGGCGCGGTGGCTCACACCTATAATCCCAGCACTTTGGGAGGCTGAGGCAGGTAGATTGCCTGAGGTCAGGAGTTCGAGACCAGCCTGGCCAACACAGTGAAACCCTATCTCTACTAAAAATAAAAAAATTAGCTGGACGCGGTGGTGGGCGCCTGTAATCCCAGCTACTCTGGAGGCTGAGGCAGGAGAATCACTTGAATCCGGGAGGCGGAAGTTGCAGTGAGCCGAGATTATGCCATTGCACTCCAGCCTGGGCAACAGGAGTGAGACTCCGTCTTAAAAAAAAAAAAAAAAAAAAAATTCCCTCCCCTCATTTTTATTTATTACAGTTTTATTATTTATTTTTTTGAGACAGTGTCTCATTCTTGCCCAGGCTGGAATACAGTGTGCTATCATGGCTCACTGCAGCCTCAAACTCCTGGGCTCAAGTGATCATCTGCTCTAGCCTCCTGAGTAGCTAGAACTACAGGAATGCATCACCATGCTTGGTTAATTTATTTTTTATTTTTTGGCCAGGTGTGGTAGCTCAGGCCTGTAATCCCAGCATTTTGGGACCAGCCTGAGGAACCATAGGAGCTTGGGACCACACTGAGCTGGTCTCACATAGTGAGACGCCATCTCTACAAAAATAAAAATAATTAGCTGGGTACAGTGGCACGTGCCTGTAATTCCAGCTATTTGGGAGGCTGAAATGGGAGGAACACTTGGGCCCAGAAGGTTGACACTGCAGTGAGTCGTGATGGCACCATTGCATTCCAAGCCTAAGCAACAGAGTGAGACCTTGTTTCAATATTTATTTTGTAGAGACAAAGTCTCACTAAGTTGACCAGGCTGGTCTTGACCTCCTGGCCTCAGGTGATCTTTCTGCCTTGGCCTCCCAAAGTGGTGGGATTACAGGCATAAGCCACTATGCCTGGTCTCATTGTGGTTTTAAATAGTTGCAAAGGACATAATTTCTAGTGTATTATATACTGACATTTCAAAATAAAACCATTATATCATTGTTTCAAATGTATCCAATGAAATCTAAATACTACAGTGATTAGATACTTCACCATTATCCATTAAAAGACATGACAAGATTTTACATCAGAAATTATATTTACATTCTACTCCCTCATATAATTTATCCTAATATGTTTTTACGCTTGAAAGTCTTTTATTGACCATTTATCACATTGCTCTGCAAGAAAAATAACTCAAAACATTTAATTTTTTGTTTGTTTGAGATACAGTCTCACTCTGCCGTCCTGGCTGAAGTGCAGTGGCACGATCTCGGCTCACTGCAACCTCCGCCTCCCAGGTTCAAGCAATTCTCCTGCCTCAGCCTTCTGAGTAGCTGGGATTACAGGCTCCCACCACCACACCCAGCTTTTTTTTTTTTTTTTTTTGTATTTGTAGTAAAGATGGGGTTTCACCATGTTGGCCAGGCTGGTCTCAAACTCCTGACCTAGTGATTCACCTGCCTCGGCCTCCCAAAGTGCTGGGATTACAGGCGTGAGCCACCGTGCCCGGCCAAAAAATTTAATTTTTTATAGTTTCTGGGCCCAGTGTGGTGGCTCACACCTGCAATTCCAGTCCTTTGGGAGACCATGGCAGGAGGATCACTTAAGCCCAGGAGTTCTAGACCAGCCTGAGCAACATGGTGAAACTTTGTCTATACAAAAATATACACAAATTAGCCAAGCATGGTGGCACCCACCCAGCTACTCAGGAGGCTGAGATGGTAAGATCACTTGAGCCCAGGAATTTGAGGTTGCAGTGAGCAGTGATCACACCACTGCACTCCAGCCTGGGCAACAGAGCAAGGCTCTCTCAAAAAATAAAAACAAATAAAATAGAAATTTCCTGTGACCATAAATCCCTAAGAGTTAATTTTTTCCCCTATGGATTCTATTTTCATTATAACTGTTAGTAGTCTAAAATATATTATTAGTACATGAATACCTTAGTTTTTGGGGTTTTTTTGAGACAGGGTCACTTTCTGTCAGGAAAGTGAAACAGTCTTATTACTGACATGGAGAAAGTTTTAGTGGTCTCAGTAGAAGATTAAAACAGTCACAACATTCTCTTAAACCAAAGCCTAGTCCAGCGGCGTGATCGCAGCTCACTGCAGCCTTGACCTCCCCAGTTCAAGTGATCCTCCTCTCGCGGAGCTGGGACTACAGGTGCAGGTCACCAAGTTTGGCTAATTTTTAAATTTTTTTTAGAGACAGGGGTCTCACTGTGTTGCCCAGGCTGGTCTTAAACTCCTGGACTCAAGTGATCCTCCTGTTTTGGCTCAAGTGCTGGGATTACAGAAGTGAGCCGCTGCACCTGTCCAGGAAAAGTTGTTGGAGGAAATTAAAAGGTACTACACTTCAGTGAACACATGAATGACACAAAAGTGAAATAGCCTTATTGCTGACATCAAGAAAGTTTTAGTGGTCTGGATAGAAGATCAAAGCAGCCACAACATTCCCTTAAACCAAAGCCTAATCCAGAGCAAGGCCCCGACTCTCTCTCTCTCTTTTTTTTTTTAAAGAGATAGGGTCTTGCTTAGTTGCCCAGCCTGGAGTGCAGTGGCATGATCATGTCTTACTGCAGTCTCAAACTCCTGAGCTCAAGTAATCCTCCTGCTCTGCCTCCTAAACAGCTGGGACTACATGTGCATGCCAACACTCACTATGTTGCCCACACTGGTCTCCAACCCTTGGCCTCAAGTGATCCTTCAATCTTGGCCTCCCAAAGTGCTGGGATTATAGGTGTGAGCTACTGAGCCCAGCCTATTCTCTTCAATACTATAAAGACTGAGAGTGGTGAGGAAGCTAGCAGAGGCTGGTTCATAATGCTCAAGGAAAGAAGCCACCTCCATAACATAAAAATGCAAGGTGAAGCAGCGAGGGCTGATATAGAAGCTGCAGCAAGTTATCCAGAAGATCTAGCTAAGATCATTGATGAAGGTAGCTACACCAAACAACAGATTTTCAAAGCAAACAAAACAGTCTTCTATTGGAAGAAGACGCCATATAGCAGTTTCACAGCAAGAGAAAAGTCAGGGCTTGGCTACAGAGCCTCAAAGGACAGACTAACTCTTTTATTAGGAGATAATGCACCTGGTGATTTTAGGTGGAAACCAATTCTCATTTACCATTCTGAAAATCCTAGGGCCTTAGGAATTATGCTAAATGTATTCTGCTGTGCTCTATAAATAAAACAAAACCTGCATGACAGCACATATGTCTGCAGCATGGGTTACAGAATATTTTAAGCTCACTGTTAAGATCTACTCCTCAGAAATAAAGATTCCTTTCAAAATATTACTGCTCATTGACGATGCACCTGGTCACCTACAAACTCTGGAGATGTATAGGGAGATTAATGTTTTCATGCCTGCTAACACAACATTCATTCTGCAGCCCATGGATCAAGGAGTAATTGTCACTTGCAAGTCTTACTCTTTAAGAAATACATTGCGAACCCTGTCTCTACAAAAAATAACAAAAACGAGCCGGGTGTGGTGGTGTGTGCTGGTAGTCCCAGCTACTTGGGAGGCTGAGGTGGGAAGATTGCTTGAGTCGAGGGGGAAGCAGAGGTTGCAGTAAGCTGAGATCACACCACTGCACACCAGTCTGAGCGACACAGCAAGACCCTGTGTCAAGAAAAAAAAAATTAGATTTCATAAAACTGCAGCTGCCATAGTGATTCCTCTGATAGCTGTAGACAAAGTCAATTGGAAACCTTCTGGAAAGGATTCACCATTCCAGATGCCAGTAAGAACACTCATGGCCAGGCACAGTGGCTTATGCCTATAATCCCAGCACTTTGGGAGGCTGAAGTGGGAGGATCGCTTGAGCCCAGGAGTTTGAGAGTAGCTCATGCAATAGGACAAAACCCCATCTCTACAAAAAACATAAAAATTAGCCAGGTGTAGTGGTGGGCACCTGTAGTCCCAGCTACTCAGGAGGCTGAGGTGGGAGGATTGCTTGAGCCAGGAGAGGTCCAGGCTGCAGTGAGCTGAGATCATGCCATTGCACTCCAGCTTGGGTAACAGAGTGAGACCCTGTCTCAAAAAAAAAAAAGAAAACAAATACGAAAAACCTTTTTTTTTTTTTTTTTCAGACGGCATCTCACTCTGTCGCCCAGGCTGGAGTGCAGTGGCGCGATCTCAGCTCACTGCAACTTCCGCCTCCCCGGTTCAAACGATTCTCCTGCCTCAGCCTCTGAGTAGCTGGGACTACAGGTGCCTGCCACCACACCTGGCTAATTTTTGTATTTGTAGTAGAGATGAGGTTTCACTATGTTGGCCAGGCTGGTCTTGAACTCCCGACCTCAGGTGATCCAACTGCCTTGGCCTCCCAAAGTGCTGGGATTACAAGCGTGAGCCACCATGCCCAGCCTAAAAACAATATAACCTATATGCACTGGGAAACCAACAAAATTGACTCGCCTTATGCAATATTCACTGTATTGCAGTGGTCTGGAAATTAACTCACAGTATCTCCTAGGTGCCTGTACAACAAACATTTTACATTATTTCGATAACATAAAATTGTATTGCAAATGCATCTCTTACTGAGAATGGATGGTCTATGGGGCTTTGATCTAATGAAGCTGTAAGGATACTAACAATTTGAATTTCTCTCTTAATTTGGTGCCCTGGAAGTAACACAGGTTCTGGGTGAGATGGATAGCACCTTGGGTAACTTTATCACTTGGTAGACAGGGACTGAAAAGGTGAGTGGGAAAGGAGATCTGGCATGGGAGTTTCACCCTAGGTAGATCAGTTTGAGGAATGAGAACACAGAAGCCAAGGATCTGGACAATTTATTTATTTATTATTTATTTTTGAGACAGGGTCTCACTCTGTCACCTAGGCTGGAATACAGTGGCACAATCACCACTCACTGCAGCCTCGACCTCCTGGGCTCAGGTGATCCTCCCACCTCTGCCTCCTGAGTAGCTAGGACTACAGGCACGCGCCACATCTGGCTTTTTTATTTTTTTGAGACAGAGTTTTGCTCTTGTTGCCCAAGCTGGAGTGCAATGGCATGATCTCGGCTCACTGCACTCGGCTCACCTCTGCTCCTGGGTTCAAGTGATTCTCCTGCCTCAGCCTCCCAAGTAGCTGAGATTACAGGCACCCACCACCACGCCCAGCTAGTTTTTTTGTATTTTTAGTAGAGATGGGGTTTCACCATGTTGGCCAGGCTGGTCTCAAACACCTGACTTCAGGTGATCCACATACCTCAGCCTCCCAAAATGCTAGGATTACAGGCGTAAGCCACCGTGCCCGGCTCACTTTTTGTGTTTTTTGTAGAGATGGGGTTTTGCCATGTTGCCCAGGCTGGTCTCAAACTCCTGGGCTCAAGCGATCCATGAGCTTTGGCTTCCCAAAGTGCTAGGATTACAGGTGTGAGCCACCACGCCTAGCCTGTTTATTCTTTTAAAACTGCCTATTTTGCCATGCAATAGGTACCCTTGCTGTGAAAGCCTGTGAACATCCCTGGATATGTGTACTATCATTTAAAAACTGCCTCAGAGGGCACGAAATGTTGTCGGGGAAGATCTATTCAGAGCTGGGTGTGAGCTCTAGCCCTCTCCCTGACTATCGGTTTGCTCTGGGGTATGAGGTTGAGTGTGAGGCGCCCACTGGGCCCTGGCATCAGGGCTGACTTGCTTCTCTCAGGCTCTGTGTTCATGGGCTACCTCTTCCAAAGACTGCACAGCTCCAGGCCCGGCTTCAGAGCAGAGGTGATGTGGTATTATCAGGCTCTGATGGAAAGTGTGCTCTCTCGGTATCTACTTGCAGGGAAGCTTCTGAAATTGGTGAGGGAGCACCTGTTGCAAGGCTCAGTGAACAAATGGTTTTGGTATTTCCCTTTTTCATGGGGCACCAGAAGGGTATTTTCTCCTACACAGGATCGCATCTGAAGACTGTTGAAACTGTGTTTTCCCGAAGTGAGATGGAAGATCTCAGATAGGAAAGAGACAGTGAGAGAGAGAGACAGACACTGAGCCAGGTTCCCACGCAGTTTATTGAGGGAGCCAAAGCCAGTGAGAGGACAAAGGAGTCCTACTTCAACCTACTTCCTTAAAGCTGTGTGCCTCGAGCATGAAGGGACCTTCTCAGAGGGCAGGACCTGCCCTATGAGGGGCCACACAGAGCCCTGTGGAGACTCCTACCTCTCATACCACAGCCCGTCCTACCCCAAAGACCCAGACATGAGAGCAGACATAATCCCCACCCCAGGAGGGTGCTGAGGAAACACCCTTACCCATGCCCCTCCCCTAGAGACCTCAGGAAGAAAGGCCAGGACACCTGTACTGTGTTTGGCCAGTCGAATCCTCAACGTGAAGACCTGGGCAACAGGCCTGGCTGACAGGTCTGTTCAGATGTGGCCTCAGACATCTACTCTAGAATCCAACCCCTAACACTCAAACATGATTAAAAACACCCAGGACACTTCTCTTGCTGGCAGAGGCCACACCCCAGATAATGGCAGTCCTGCCAAACTCTGGCCAGAGATAGGGACCCAGGCTGACTGGGTGTGAGCATGTAAGAAGACCACTCTGCCCCATGGGGAGGATCTTCCAGGGCTCAGCTGAGGCTCAGAGCCCGGGCTTCTGTTTCTCCCCATCCAATGCCAGTGATTCCTCCAAACATTCCCCACAAGGGAGAAAGGGAGGAGGAGGCAGAGAGCTTATCAAGAGGTTCACCCTGTATGGGGCTGGAGGTCGGATCTACTGGGGTGAGGAAAAGGCTGTAGAGGAGTGGGGCACTGGGGCAGGGGCGCTGGCACATTCCTCAGATTCTGGCATGTCATCCTGGAAGTACTCAGCCTGGCGGTACTGCCACAGACGCAGGTTCCCGTCCCACTGCAGGGCAGAGGGTGGCAAGTAGTCAGGAGGTGCTGCCCCCACCCCAAGTCCAAGCCCCAGACATGTGCCAGCACCCCCAACCCTTGCAACCTCACCGAACTGCTGACAATCTTCTCTTCAAAGGGGTGCCAACTGACATCACGCACACAGGCCTTGTGGTTCGTCAGCTTCTTCACAATGTGGCCACTGAGAAGGTCGTACACTGTCCAGGACAGGCAAGAGTGGAGAGGGACCACCACAAGACCTCTAAACTATCCCTCACCTCCCTGTGAGTAGCACCACTGACCTCTCAGGCAACTTCCCATGTTCCCATGGGAGCAAAGCCCACACGAGCAGACTGTGTTATTTCTGCTTCTATCCCTGTTCCTTTCCCTACCTTGGGTTGAGGGTGTGGTTTGTGTGGGTGTGGGTATTTCTGGCCCTTAGCTAAATTTCATAGGGGCTACAGTTAAGAAAATGCAGTGGCTTTAAAGATTTTAGTAAGATATGGAAGGCACCACAAAAGTGAACACCAAGCTGTCTGGGGGAGTGTGCACCTGCTGCACCTTGTCTGGACAGGGTGCATCTTTCTTTTGTTATGGGTCTGTGAGTGTCTCTCTGGGGATAGCACTGCCTTAGACTCCTTATATCTGCAGCTGTGCTTGTGGTTTTTTTCTTTCCTTTTCTTTTTCTTTTTTTTTTTTTTTTTTGAGACGGAGTCTCGCTCTTATTGCCCAGGCTGGAGTGCAGTGGCACGATCTCGGCTCACTGCAACCTCTGCCTCCCAGGTAGCTTGTGATTACTGGTGCCTGCCATCACCCCTGGCTAATTTTTGTATTTTTAATAGAGACGGGGCTTCACCATGTTGGCCAGGCTGGTCTCAAACCCCTAAGCTCAGGTGATCGCCTGCCTCAGCCTCCCAAAGTGCTGGGATTACAGGTGTGAGTCACTGTGCCCAACCTTTTTTTTTTTTTGAGACAGTTTCTCACTCTGTCACCCAGGCTGAAGTGCGGTGGCACAATCATGGCTCACTGCAGGCTCGACCTCCTGGGCTCAGGTGATTCTCCCACCCTAGCTTCCCAAGTAGCTAGGACTACAGGCCTGTGCCACCACGTCCAGCCATTTTTTGTAGAGAAGAGGTTTCTCCATGTTGCCCTGGCTGGTCTCAAACTTCTAGGCTCAAGCGATCTGCCCTCATTGGCTTCCCAAAGCACTGGGATTATAGGCATGAGCCACTGCGCCCAGCTTATTTCTTTCTGTGCTTTTGTGCTTCAGCGATTGCATGTCCCTTTACTACTTGCTACCATCTTCCTGTGTCATTTTGTCTCTGTTCCCTCCTACCTTTCATCTGCAACCTCTTTCCTTGACTGGCTGAAAAACAGAACCAACTATATTTTTGGCAATCTATTATATTTACTGTCTAGAATTCTATGTTCCTTTTCTTAATTTAAAACACTGAAAAATAGAATGGTTTCTATTTCTCTGTTTAAGCCTCCAAGCTAAGTTAGATTTTACCTGTAGCCGTCACTGGGCTTTTTTAAGGTGGTCACTGGTCGTTATAGGTGGAACGGCAAGGAGTCATTCCTGCCCTTCCTGAGGCCCCCTGTTCTGACACAGTCCTTACCAACCACTTTGCCGGTGGAGCAGCCACTATAGATGAACTGCTGGCCGGTGCTATGAATGGGGGAGAACCGGCAGCGGATAAGGGTGTGCAGCACTCCGTGGCCCCGGTAGGTCATCAAGGAGCTGTCCCCTGGGAGCTTCAGCTTCCGCCAGGCTGGGTAGGGATGCAGAGTAAGCCCTAGGTTAGGGAATCTGCTTTGGGATTGTTTCGTACCAGCAGTCCTGAGCAAGGATCGATGCCCAGAGACAAATGCCTTTCCAACCTTCAAGTGGTGGCTCTTTCTCCACCTAATAGTCAGTGGACAGTCTCCAATATGGCCCTGCTGGTTAATCATTATACTCAAATACTTCGGTATTGTGGATTCTGAGTGACCCCCACCCAGGCCCCAATCCTAGGAACCTCTGGCCATTCCATTTGTGATTTAGCAAATAAAGAGTTAATGCCTGGTAAAGAGGGCTGAGGGGGAGATCCTCCAGGGCTCCAAGGCTACAGACAAATCCACTGTGCCTGTACCTCCATTCTCACCTTTTTTGGGCACTTGCTGCCAGCGATAGTCCCAGTTTTGCTGTGTGGCAGCCTGGCGTGAGGCTTCCATGCCTTCCCGGCTGGAAAAGCGTCGGATATCCCAGAGTTTGATGGTCTGGTCTTTAGAGTTGGAGATGAGATATCGAGCATCACCCTATGAATTCAAAGGTGGATAGTGAAGCATCAGAGCTTGCAAATGTCGGCGCCTGTCAGTCTAGTTCCTGTTCTCTAGTTGAGTGGAAGAACTCTGGCCTCTGGTTTTGCTTGCCTCTCTTCATCCAGGCGAACTCATTTTCAGTGTTCTGCCTCAGATCCTACCACCTGGCTAGGTTTTTCTTTCCTTGCCCAGGGTACTGGCTGGCTTTTCTATTCCAGCCTGAATGAGACTGTCTTTCATTTTTCCTTTTTTAATTTTTTTTTTGAGATGGAGTCTTGCTCTAGCGTCACCCAGGCTAGAATGCAGTGGTGCGATCTCGGCTCACTGCAAGCTCCGCCTCCCAGGTTCACGCCATTCTCCTGCCTCAGCCTCTCGGGTAGATAGGACTATAGGCACCCGCCACCATGCCCAGCTAATTTTTTTGTATTTTTAGTAGAGATGGGGTTTCACCGTGTTAGCCAGGATGGTCTCAATCTCCTGACCTCGTGATCCACCCGCCTCAGCCTCCCAAAGTACTGGGATTACAGGCGTGAGCCACAGCGCTCAGCCTTAACTTTTTTTTTTTTTTAAATAAATAGAGACGAGGTCTCGCTAGGTTTCACAGGCTGGTCCGGAACTCCTGAGCTCAAGTGATCCTTCCACCTTGGCCTCCCAAAGTGCTAGGATTACAGGTGTGAGCCACCATACCTGGCCGGTATTCAATTTTTCTTGTATGGAAAGCCCTGCCTTGCTCCTTGAGGACTGGTGAGTACAGATGGAATTCATGTTCCCTGGCTTGAGCCCCTTCCCTAAACTCCAACTCTTACAAACCTTGGTCAATAAGGAGCTTGTTAAATTCCCACACCAGTCCACTTTCATGCCCTCCTGGGCAACCAGAACCTTAGTGGCCTGGCTGTGCAGTCCTGCATCCTGGCCCACCTTGCTGTCAATGAAGGTGATGCCATCCTGGTGTCCAGCCAGTGCACCCACAGGCTTGGGGTCATCCTCCCGCATGGTGCGTCGATCCCACACTTTGCAGATGGCATCATCTCCCCCAGAGAACAGGATTTGGGAGCTTATATCAGCAAAGGCCACTGCATTCACGTCATCCTCATGGGACTCAATCTAGGCGAAAAGGAGGCCAGTATATAAGACCTCTTTCTAGGTCTCATAATAAGCCAAAGACCAGGAAACAGAGGCTCTCTCTCAGGAGCCATACCTGAAGGGTGCGCCGGTTCTGTTCTCGGTCAAAGACATACAGGCAGCCATCATTGGCCCTGAAAGGGAAGGGATAAAGGAGGGTCCTGGAGCCATGATCGAGAGGACCAATATGGTATATGCTCTAGAGAGTTCCACTGAGAAATCCTGCTCTGGGTCAAGTCCTTTGCTCTTTTTATATAGGAAGTCGGGGAAAAGTTAGCTGTGTTTCAAGGAGGCTTGACACCTCCCATCTTGTGCTGGGAAAATGGAGAGCAAGGGGTGAAGCAACCTGTAAATCCTGACCTTGGAGAAGGTCTGGTTGTTCTCTGCAGCTGCCAGTGCCATCTGTGTAACAGCAGAGCTCATCTCTGGCAGAACCCCCATCTTGTTATTGAGGGAAACATACCCCATAAGCACTCACCCTCCTAGTACTTCTCGTCCATCTGAGGACACAGCAATGGAGAAGACAGCAAAGCGACGCTCATCTGGCCTGAAAGCAAAGAAGGAGCTGGGTTAAGTGGACTTCCCTTCAGCTTTTGTTAATCTACATAGAATCTGACAATGGTTGTGAGGCACATCCCCAGGGGAAAAAAGAAGTCTGGCTAACATGTACCACAATGCAGATCCTCAGTGAGAACCCAGAAATCATCCCGCAAGCATCTATTTTACCCAGTCCTCTGGCTGACAAGATGGTGCTTCCCTCCCAGGAATGCACACAGATCCATCAGTATACTTTTTCCCCTAAGCAGAACTTCCAACTCAAGAGGTTTGCTCCTGAAGAGCTTCCCTTGAGAAGTTTCTGATGAGTCCGACCAGAAAGGGAAGCCAGTACCTGAGATCCAGGGCAGTGTGTGTATCTCCCTCACCATAGATATTGCAGATATGAACTAAGAGAAGCAAAAAAAACAAGAATCTTTCAGGGATGGGGGAAGGAGAGTGGAAGTGAAGCTAGGGAAGGGGTCAAACAGAGGACAAGGGTACTGGAGCACTTTGGGAATGATTTTCCCAGGACAAAGTGAGGGATCCTGGCTCAGAGGGGACAGGCACATGGAAACCTCAGGTCCCAGGCTGGAGAGTCAGTGGAAGCCTGGTGCATACTCACTGTAATCAGACCAGCTGGAGTAGAGGAAGTGGTTCCCATCGGGGGTGAAGGCCACATCCAAGACGCTCCAGCCTACGTCGCGGGCCTTGATGCTTTTGAATTTACGGAAACGGCCATACCGGCAGTCATACAGTCGGATTGTCTGGTCTGTATAAGTAGAGATCAGGCAGAATTATGGAACACTTTCCTTGTAACTTTCCTAGATTAGACGTCTCCCACTCAGTGTACCTGTGGAGTCTTCCCTTTATCATGGGAAACATGCTCTGACTAAGCATCCTTAAGCCAGGTCTGAGCTCCCCATCTGTGGCTTTCTAGCCTCAGTCAGGGGGAACATTCCATGTCCCAGGAAAAGACAGTTTATAGGACCAGGGTCTGGTACCTTGGCAAGCAGACATGAATATTTGACCATCTTTGCTGTAGATGCCACAGAAAGCCTTCTGAGAGTAGCTATCAGTGAAGCCCAGATCATTGGGCAAGAAGCTAGGGAAGAAGAGAGAAAGTGAGGGTAAGCGGTGCCTAGGATAAGGAGTGTCCCAATTAGCAAAATCCTAACAAAGCTGGAATATCAGAACAGTCATTCTTCCCTTTTGGCTGTGAGTGCAATCCCGTCTTTCAATCATTCCACCATCCTCTAAATTTCTACAATTTTCTACACTTTTCCACTTTGCTTACTCTCAAAGTTTCAACCCCATTTAACCTAACCTTTAATATCTCTGAGGCTCCTTTAACACCTACCCCTTCAAAGTTTAGGAGATAAGACCTATTTGGCCCTTAGAGTCTCTTCACCGAGCCCCATACTCACTGAGATATCACTCGAGACTGTTCTCCAAGGGAGAAGCTTCCCCGGTGGCAGAGGCCCCGTTCTCTCTAAATGGAAGGGATTGGGGAATATTGCTAGCAGAAATAGAGGGCCACCTCAGCCATATCAAACCCCCTCCTCCAAAGACACTGCTGTTGTTATAGAAACGGACACAACACATCGTAGTCCGTCCCACAGAACTCCAATGGGGGCTGGTTAACTCTCCAGCCCCGGCCCTTGAGGCTTCTTTCTTGGAAAGTTGACTTCCTTTTCCTCTGGGGCTGGCAGAGATTCTGGCTGCTTTGGCAGGCCTGCTGCCAGGCTGGGAGGTGGAGAGGCCTACCTGGTGCAACATTCGAGGAAAGCTGTGCTCCTGGGTGGCCCGCCTAAGCCCCAGCTGCCCTGTGGCCAGTTCCACTTGTGTCTTGATCTCATTGCATTCCAGCTCCCGGGTGTCAGGGGTAGCATCCACTGTGAGTACCAAGTAGAAGTTTCATCCTAGGTCTTCCAGCCTCAGAGGACAGTTAGCAGAACTGTACCCAAGCCCACCCCTGTGGCTGAATATACTGGGGCTGTAAGGACTCCTTATTCCTTAAATTATCGTACCTTCTTTCAATGTAACCTATCATTCAAAATATCACTAAAAGGTTTTCCAGTAAAAGTCTTCCAACATTAGGGACTTTTCCTCTTACCGGGTGGGTTGTATCGATCCCCAAGACGACCATCCCAAGCTCTGTCATTCTCTTCCTCTGAGTCCAAGAGGGCCTGAATGAATTGTAAATTTGCTGCACCTCCTCCCTGCACCAACCTCACTTGGCCTCTGTGGAGAGACCCCCATTATAAAGGAGGGGACTTCTTCCCCCAAACCAACCAAATTCAGAGTAAATGGCTATCTAGCTCTTAGACCACTTGGTACTCATTTTGAGGTTGGAGGCTGATTAGACCTTGGCTGTTATTTTTTGGTCTCCTATAAAACACAGTAGGAAAGTGAGTCTTACTCTTACAGCAAGAGTAAGACCAACATGCTGTGGACGTGACCTACTAAGTTGACCTCCCAGAGAGCTAAACATTCTAACTGCATTTCCTTAGAGCAAAAGCAAGACTAATATGCTGTGGACATGACCTACTAAGTTGACCTCTCAACGAGCTAAACATTCTCACAGCATTTCCTTCTGAGCCTCTGCCTGAGAAGTCCACCACAGAAGACAATATTCTAAGCTGGGTGTGGTAGTGTGTGTAACTGTAGTCTTAGCTAACTGGGAGGCAAGGATTGTTTGAGCCCAGGAGTTGCGGGCTGTGGTGTGCACTGTGATCACACCTGTGAATAGACTGTTCTCCAGACTGGGGAACACAGTGAGCCCTGTCTATGTCTACTAAAAACAACACAAAACACAAAAACAAAAAAGAATACAATATTCTGATGGGACCCCTAAGCTCATCTTCTCCTCAAAGAGCTATAAGCAAAGAAAGCAAGGCAGCTGCACTCTTTTCCAGTCAATTCCAGGTGGTCTCTCCCTTCAAGGCATTCTTTCCTCAAGAACAAGTCAGAGTCAGGGCAAATTAAACTTGTTTTTCAAGTAAATCGAAGTGACCTCATCGAAGTGGCCTCATATCACGTGTCAACTGACTTACCAAAAAGTTCAACACTCCCTTTCCATCTCTTCACCCCCGTATATCACTGCTTTCCCACCAGGAACCTCCCCCCACCCTTTTTTTTTCAAACTTACTTGGAAAAGAGATTATATTTGTGTAGTCACAGAGAGAGGCTCCCCTGAATAGCCTCTCAAACACATGAGCAGGTCCTCTTGGTGACCCTCCCTAGGTAAGAACCACTCTTACTGGGTATGAAGCTGAGTGCCATGGGTGCCCAGCAGGGAAAGGCTGTTCCGCTCAAACAGAACAGCTGTCCTGAGTGAATCCTATTTCCTAACCTCTGTAATTTTCCTGCCTGGAGATGGGATCAAGGCACTGTGGTAGCACCTGGTAGGGTCACACCAGAGGGTAAGTTACCTGCGGAGGAGATAGGCCAGTACCTGGGCCAGATCCACATCTTCATCCTCTTCTTCCTCTTCCTCACTCCGACGCAGGCCAGCCCCTCTTCGGGACAAGCCCTCGGAGGGGTCTCCGGACCCGGATCCTGCACTGCTGCTGTTCCGTGATCCCATCTTCTGGTCACAGCATCCTTAGGTACTGTGCGAGGACTCCGCCTGTCACCTCCTTGGGTTTGGTGAAAGCAAAGCGTGCTCTAGAAATACCAGGGTCTCCTGAGACGGGGTAGTAGCTATCTCTAGGAGGGTGACCCTCCCTCGGGGCTGAGATCCCTTTGCTTTAGCCTATGCCAACTACCAAGGCGTCGGGAACACAAACCTTCCCCAATCCTGTGAAGCAAAGAAAGCAAGAGTGAACCGTAGTGCGCTACCCTAGCTCACCAACTGAAGAAAGATTTGTTTTCTACACCAAACTCACCTATCGCAGTCCCTGGACAGGGGAGCGGGAGAGGTGTTGGGCGGTGTAGGATTCCCAGGTAACCTCTCTGACAGACCAATCGAAATCCCTCGCGGAAGAAAGCGCTTCACTAGCTTATCTCATCTAACCAATGAGAAGCCTTACGACTCAAAGACCCTCGGCACCCCCCCTTACCAACCAATCAGAGCGCCTCCTTACGAAAGCAGGCAGCAATAACAACCAATGAAAATAGAATTTGGCCTAACACCCCTCCTTCCTTGCCTCACGCCCACGTGGTGCGCCGGGGGTGTGTACGCCAAGAGGGGGAGGAAGCCGAGAAGCACCTCCCACTGAAGCCGGCGGTTACTGCCCCACGAGAGACCACCCACCAGCCAGGAGCGGTCGCAGGACCCGCAGCGGCGCGAGGCCTTGTTTACACCGACTGCAGCCACTGCGTTGGCCAACCGCTGCTCCGTCACGCGCCTGGCTCGTCACGCATCTCGCGGCTTCCCGGCCGGCGGGCTGCAAACGTCACACGACGGCCCCGCCCCCTTGGCCCGCCAACTGGACAGCGGAGCGCGATGATTGATAGGTAAGCGGGAGAATGCGCGAGGGGCCTGAGGGGAGGAGAAAGTGCTCACCCGAAGAGGGCTGTTAGCTCTTGTTGGGGAGGAGTAAGTGGGAACTGACAACTTCCTGGATCAGAGACAGCCGAACTAGACGTAATGGCTGAGAGGCGGGGCTTAAAAAAGAAACGTTTGGTGGTTCGCTACCGAGAGGTATTTTAGCAAGGGATACAATTTACTGTCGGTCCCTAAAGATCATTTGGCATCGCACTTTTCAGACAGTGCCCAGGGGCCTCCTCTTTAAGCCCACTGCTTCCCCCGTCGAGCTGGAGCCGTTCTCCTGTCGCTGGCTGCAGCTCCAGTCGGTCCTGCCCTAAGGAGTGCTCGGCGTCCCAGTAGGCTTCCACACCGTCCTTCCGGGCTTAGCTTTTCGAAGCCTTGCTCTTGAGACGGCCTCCTTTTAGACCTCCCTTTATCTGCTCGGCAATTTTTTAAGACAATTCCTGGTCTTCTGCCGCGGTCTTTGCAGACGTTCCCTAATACACGCATCTTTCTCTCAAAGCTTTTCCGGTTCCGCTGTCCATTTAGACGCTCCCTTGGCCCTCCGGGATTTGCAGACCTTCCCTAGACCCTCTGTCCTCACAGTGCCTTTCCCTCCCCGGCCGTGAGTCCGGGGTGCGCGCGCGCCGCCTCCTGCCCCCTCCTGCCCCCTCTTGCGGGTTTATGAGTAACAAGCATGAGTCCAAGGCCGGGACTTGCCATATCTCTGAACCTCGGCCTGGCTGGGTGGGGAAGTGTGTGGGGTTGAATGACCTTGCTGTCTCCGGCTCAGAGGCCCAGGGTCCGAGCTGAACTTCAGTCCCCGCAGCCTGCACTCCCTTGGGAAAGCTGCGAGCTTCCCTCCGCCCGCTCCTGAGGGCAGCGATGGGAGCGAGGGCTCGTGGCCCTCTTGGGCCCTCCTGGGGTCTCTCCCAGTGAGGGCGAGGGTTTGGCCAGCTTTCGGGCGACGTCTTCTAGTCTCCAGACCCGGAGGCCTGAGCTTGTCACCAGGGCTAGCTTTGATGGGTTCTGCGCTTAGAAGGGTCCTGAATGCTTGGTTTAATGTTCTACTGTTAACGGTCTTGAAATTATCAATAATTTCAAAGCAAGTGCCTGGCATTTTCAACTTGCACTGGACTCCACTGATTATGTAGGCGGTCTGTAGGCAGTATGCTGGGCGCCCATACTCTATTGCCAGATTACTTACTATCTGTGCTTTAACGTTTATTGAGACTTTAAGATTCCGTGGTTTCTGGGTTATCCAGCCTGGAAAATCGGGATCGTTATTTATTGATTGATTTTACCTGCATTCTCTCAGAATGTTACGGAATCATTTTTTAAAACATTGGCCGGGCGCGGTGGCTCACCCCTGTAATCCCAGCACTTTGGGAGGCTGAGGCGGGTGGATCAACTGAGGTCAGGAGTTCGAGACCAGCCTGGCCAACTCCGTGAAACCCTGTCACTACTTAAAAAAAAAGCCGGCCGGGCGCGGTGGCTCAAGCCTGTAATCCCAGCACTTTGGGAGGCCGAGACGGGCGGATCACGAGGTTAGGAGATCGAGACCATCCTGGCTAACACAATGAAACCCCGTCTCCACTAAAAATACAAAAAAATTAGCCGGGCGTGGTGGCGGCGCCTGTAGTCCCAGCTACTCGGGAGGCTGAGGCAGGAGAATGGCGGGAACCCGGGAGGCGGAGCTTGCAGTGAGCCGAGATCGCGCCACTGCACTCCAGCCTGGGCGACAGAGCGAGACTCCGCCTCAAAAAAAAAAAAAAAAAAAAAAAGCCAGATGTGGTGGTGTGCGCCCGTAATCGCAGCTACTTGAGAGGCTGAGGCAGGAGAATCGCTTGAACCCGGGAGGCGGAGGTTGCAGTGAGCCGAGATCACGCTACTGCACTCCAGCCTGGGCTACAAAAGCGAAACTCAAACAACAAACAACAACAACAACAAAAAACCAACTAAACAAACAAAAAAACACCTACGTCTCTTCCGCCAGTTGATCTGTTGAAGAATCCTCCTCTAACAGCGTTTCGTGCTTAAGAACCCACAAGTGAGCCGGGTGCAGTGGCTCACGACTATAATTCCAGCACCATGGGAGGCCGAGGAGGAGGATCATTTGTTGCCAGGAGTTCAAGGCCAGCCTGGGCAACATAGTGAGACCCAGTCTACAAAAAGAAAAAAAATAGCCGGCCATCGTGGTGCGTGCCTGTGGTCCCAACTTACTTGGGAAGGCTGAAGGAGGGAATCTTGAGCCCATGAGGTGGAGGCTGCAGTGAGCCATGATTGCTCCACTGCACTCCAGCCTGGGCACAGAGCTAAAGCCTGTCTCTAAAAAAAGAAAACCAACAAATGGCTCACTATTGTTCATTGTTTCAAATACAAACTTCCAAACCTGGTTGTCTATATTTAGTAACCTCATTTTTTGATAATTCTGCCAAGCAAATATGCCAATAAATACCTTGTTTATTTTTACCTCTGCACCTTCCCAGGAAAATTTCTTATCAGAGGGAGGCTGTCTCTCCCCAACTCCCTCAGTCTTGCCCTTTGACTCAGTAATACTGCTTCCAGAAATCTAGCCCGGACCTGCATAAAAATTTGTGTTCTACATAGCAATTACTGATAAAAGTAGAACACTGGAAACAAAGATCTAAATATCTTGCAATATGGAATTGGTTAAATAAATTATAGTCCATGTGGTATAGACACAGAAATACCAGGTAGCTATTAAAATGGTGTTGTAGTCTTCATTTTTTTTTTTTAAGGTACTTATTCCTGGTACAGGTTTGTTGTAGCCTTCCATTTTTATACCATGGGAAATTGTGCAAACTACATTGTCAAGTTAAAAAAAAAAAAGATAATAATTTCTTCTGGTGACATGTAATAGATGCAAAAACAATGTGGTTTCAGTTTTTCATTAAAAAGTATAATAGGCGTGGTAGCTCACGCCTGTAATCCCAGTACCTTGGGAGGCTGAGGCAGGCAGATCACTTGACCCCAGGAGTTTGAGACCAGCCTGGGCAACGTGATGAAACCCCGTCTCTACAAAAAAAAATAATAATAATAATAATTGAGCTGGGCCTGTAGTCTTGGCTACCCAGGATGCTGAGGTGGAAGGATCAACTGAGTCTGGTCAAGGCACAGTGAGCCATGATGGTGCCACTGCACTTCATCCAGCCTGGGCGAGAATGAGACCCTGTCTCAAAGAAAAAAAAAAAAAGTATAATAATACCCAGCTCATTACATCATTAAACAAAGTGGAGAAGGCTTGCATGAACCGGTGACAAAGGTGTAGCTTCTACAAAGGGTTATGATTAATACAGCTATAGCACCTGAGGTCCAGAAAAGCAAACAAAAAACTTCTGTTAAATTTATCCCCTTAACTATTCATTTTTTGATTCTCTTTTCTCTTCTTCTTATAAATTAGTTCAAACCTGAATAAAATCTTTTAATTCAAGCTTTTGTAATATGGAACTTGTACATTATTGAATAAAACATTTAAAAGTCATGGTAAATGTTAAAATAGCTGAGGTTTTATGACCAAAATGAATCCTCTTTCTTTTTTTTTTTTTTTTTTTTTGAGACGGAGTCTCGCTTTGTCGCCCAGGCTGGCGTGCAGTGGCCGGATCTCAGCTCACTGCAAGCTCCGCCTCCCGGGTTTATGCCATTCTCCTGCTTCAGCCTCCCGAGTAGCTGGGACTACAGGCGCCCACCACCTCGCCCGGCTAGTTTTTTGTATTTTTAGTAGAGACGGAGTTTCACCATATTAGCCAGGATGGTCTCGATCTCCTGACCTCGTGATCCGCCCGTCTCGGCCTCCCAAAGTGCTGGGATTACAGGCTTGAGCCACCGCGCCCGGCCCAAAATGAATCCTCTTTCACATCAAATGGGAAAGAAGATAAGATTCAACACTGGATTCATTGATTAATTTTTTTGCGTATAAAAGATTTTTTTTTTTTTTTTTTGAGGTGGAGTCTTGCTCTGTCGCCCAGGCTGGAGTGCAGTGGCTCCATCTCGGCTCACTGCAAGCTCTGCCTCCCGGGTTCACGCCATTCTCCTGCCTCAGCCTCCCAAGTAGCTGGGACTGCAGGCATCCGCCACCACACCTGGCTAATTTTTGTATTTTTAGTAGAGACGGGGTTTCACCTTGTAGCCAGGATGGTCATGATCTCCTGACCTCGTGATCTGCCCGCCTTGGCCTTCCAAAGTGCTGGGATTACAGGCATGAGCCACCACGCCTGGCCACGTGCAAAAGATTTTTAAGCCTATGAACTTGATTATTTCACTATGACCTGTAATGTTTTTCAAAATGTGTAAGAGCATTTATATCTTAGGGTATACAATGTGTCTATTGAAATAAATAAAATAACATATCTTTAAAAATAATTATGGTGAAGTTGTTTTGATATACTCAACTTTGCCTGCCCTCTCTTGATTTTGAAATTTGGTATGTTGCTTGGTTACAGTTTGTGAAGCACTTTTCATTTGGGTAACCTCTACTCCCTCCAGTTGCACTTAAAGTCACTTAAAGCCACAGAGAGGTTTTTCTACCTTTGGGACCCGTTTTAGGACAATTTCTGGTAATTGCTAAGTAAATGTCAGCTAGTTGACTTCCTGCATGACCTGTTTTGGCCTGTTTCCTGCTCGTTAGCATCTCCACTAGAGGGCAGGCTGGGCTGGTGAGGAGAGAAAGAAAGGAGCGTTTTCATTCTCTAGCTAATCCTGTCCTCCTTTCCTCTACTGCAGCCCCCAGCCTGGTGACCACACAGAGCTCCTGGGACAGTTCCATTTTTGGAAGTGATTGATGCTCATTCAGGTGTTTAAACATTGCCTTGTAGCATTCTCTGTGTCGATGGAAATGGAGAGTGTGCTAATTTACCTAGGGACTTAAAATGTGTTGACTAGAAAGCCACTAAGTAATTATGGGATGTTCTAATACTCTCATATCTTGTGTCTGTAAGAATCAGATTTTTCTGTGTGTAGGGTAGGA